ATCCTCATCAATCATTTCAACTATCCTCTTGGTACATCATGATAAAGAGAGAGAGAGAAAACAAAAATAATAAAATAATCCCCATCATATTTTAATAAAAAAAGAAAGAGAGAGAGAGGATTCACAACCTTAACAACAAACCCTTAACCTTAACAACCAACCCGTAACCTTAACAATCAAATCCACAACCTTAACAACAAATCCACAACCTTAACAACAAACCCTTAACCTTAACAACCAACCCGTAACCTTAACAATCAACCCGTAACTTTAACAACCTCCCAATACAAACAACCAAAATAATAAAATACGAAAATAATAAAATAATCCTCATCAATCATTTCAACTATCCTCTTGGTACATCATGATAAAGAGAGAGAGAAAACAAAAATAATAAAATAATCTCCATCATATTTTAATAAAAAAAGAAAGAGAGAGAGAGAGGATTCATAACCTTAACAACAAACCCTTAACCTTAACAACCAACCCGTAACCTTAACAATCAACCCGTAACTTTAACAACCTCCCAATACAAACAACCAAAATAATAAAAAACGAAAATAATAAAATAATCATCATCAATCATTTCAACTATCCTCTTGGTACATCATGATAAAGAGAGAGAAAAAACAAAAATAATAAAATAATCCTCCATCATATTTTAATAAAAAAAGAAAGAGAGAGAGAAGGGTATTATGGTCTTCACATGTTTTAATGTCTTGGGTTTTGTGTTTTGGGGGCTCAGAGAACAGATTCTTTATTTTTAGGGGTAAAACACCCATTGACCAAGTCCTGGGGGTGGGAAGCATGTTCACTTGGCTTTTGGGGGCTGGAAGCATTTTTCCCTTGTTTATATCACTTAGAAACAACCTCAATCTACAGCTCACACTTCATAATCTATATAAAGCCATGTACAATAAACAAAAGACATAATATCGGAACGGTTTTGGTCACTCACGTTCTCTCTGGTGATAATTATCCAACCTAGAGCCGTGCCATGACAATGGTGTTGATGGCGAAAAACAAGCTCGGCAATTCCTTCTTCTGCTTTGATTTTTTCCAATCTCATTTAAATTGTCGACGGTACCGAAATTTTCTCTACACCAATGATTACCTCCTCCACTGCTGATGCTCTACCGTCTCTGAACAATGCCTTTTCAGTTTGAAATTGACAGGATCAAGTTCTTCTTGAGTTGGATCATCAAATCTCTCCTCGAGGATGTCCTTCCTCAAGTGGTTAGCCTCCACACCACACACTCGGTTCAACCCCTCGAGCAAGCTTTTTGCCGCACTCTCCTTTGCTCACATTTTTCCAATTGACTCTTTAACACCAATCATTAAAGAAAGGCGGGGCATTTCCATCTCCACGAACTCACTGTAGTAGTCAATCTTTCACACCAGCCAACTTTTGTGCAATTGTCATCACTATCCTAATACTTTGTTTGGGAGTTTACTAGGGAAAGGAGAGGAGAGTTAAACAAGGGAAAGGAAAGGTAGGAAATTAAGAAGAGAGAAGAAATAAAATGTTATTTGAGGGTTTAGTTAGGGGAACGAAAGTAAACTTAATTCATCTTTTTTGGGAATTCTAATAAAGGAGAGGGAAGTGAAATGAATATATATATAAAAGTACACAAATACCCTTACATGTTACTAGGACATCTTGTCAACTAATAAATTAGAAGGGCAAAATTATCGTCAACTAAAAAATTATAAGAGTAAAATTTGTCAGACCCTGGGGGGTGATTAGGGTCTTATGCTAATAATCTAACCCAATTTAAATGCTAATTAAAACTTATTAACATATATATTCTTGCAAGATAGATATATAACTAATTATGAGCAAGAATATGCAATATGAACAATGAGATATATCCTAGCAAAGAGATATATGTTGAAATATATGTAAGAATATATAAACTAACACAATGGTAAATAATCTAAACTAAAGATACAATGCAAACACACAATATGATCACAGAGTTCGGACCTTCCGTCCTACATCTTCGCTCCCCACTCCCGGGGAGAAAACCACTATCACAACTCGATTTGGAAGCCGGAACTTCTCTACACACTCGGTTTTCTAGCTAACCGAAAATTCTACAACTCAACACCCTTGCAATCCCACTCTACACCCTCTCAAGTGTTGGACTAGACGTGTCTCCCTCAAGTGCTCGGATACAACCTCTCCCTAGATTCGTCAACCGACGCCACTCCTCTTGGGACGATCTCCGACTCTCGCCACACACTTCTCTCAATGTACAAGTGTATTACAAAGTGATCCTCACAATAAACACAATTACAATAAATAATTGTTTTCTAATATGGATGAGAACACAATGAAAGCTCACACTCAATTGTTACAAACTCTCACAACCCTAATTATACTATATATGAAAATACAATAAGCTCAAGTGGGTGTGTGTAAACAATGAGTGAAATGAAATCTAACTCAAATAGCAAACTAGCAATAATAAAAATATAAAAATTAATAATAAAATTGCTAGAAAAAAAGAGTTAGAAAACTTCTCTATAAACACAAAGAGAGGATGATAAAATATTGAAGATGAACTCCTCAACAAATGATGTAAGCTCCTCTTTGTAAAAACCTCAAACTTAAAACAAACTAAACAAGCTTAAACCCTTATTAAACTTTTATTTAAAAACTTCTTGGATACTTAAAGAATGAGAGCAATGGGGTATATATAGCCACCCAAAACCTCAGCCAAAAACCCCAAAGGAAAATTAAAGAATGAGAGCAATGGGGTATATATAGCCACCCAAAACCTCAGCCAAAAACCCCAAAGGAAAAGACCAAAAAGCCCAAGAATGGGGTATATATAGCCACCCAAAACCTCAGCCAAAAACCCCAAAGGAAAAGACCAAAAAGCCCAAGAATTAAAAATCTAATTCTGTACAAATATAACCGTTACAATGTTACGGGTCGACTCGTCATTGTTCATGAGTCGACTCATAACTAGTCATTACAGGCTAAAAACAACTTATGGGTCGACTCATAAAATTCATGAGTCGACTCATCATGCATAGGTCGACTCATCATGTTATGAGTCGACTCAGTAGAAATAAACGACAACTGTACAAGACTTTGTGAGTCGACTCGTCACTGCTCATGAGTCGACTCATGACATGCACACAACCTGTTTTAAACAGTAAAAACCAACTTTAAACAGGGTTTTAAAAATATCATATTAAATTCCAAAAATTATGAAACTTTGGGAAATATTTATAAGCATGTTAAAGAACATGTTACAAAAAGATTTTTTGGAATTGCACTTCTCATTTATGAAAACTTATCATTTTATAAAAATATCCAAAACATGCAAACTTGATATACTTGAATTTTGATGTTTTGACATAAACCAAGTTTTAAAACTTTGTAAATTGATTTTATAGACTCAATGAAAGATGTAAACTGTTGTTATGAAGTCTATAAACAATGAATATAGTATTTTAACAAAATACACATATAATACACTAAAACATGATTCCATTGAATTAAATAGACTTGATATTGATGAAATCATATATAGGCATATAAACATGAAACAAATATGTATTTTTCAATTATATTCATTTGTTTCATATATATAAGCTTTAAATCTATGAAACCAAAACATGTATGTATATATATAACTATATATACATAGAAACCAAAACTATATTGTGTGTGTATATATATAACTATAACTATATATATATATATATATACAAGGAAACCAATAAAATGTGTGTGTATAATATTGAGCTTAAAGTACTAACACACATAATATAAACCTAAACTAAATATTGCCCAAGCAATCTTGATCTTCGATGTAGCTCAACTTGGTATACTATGCGGATGAACCTTGAACTTGGATCTTGACTTGAATTACAAGGCTTCACTCCACAATTCCGCCAACCTTCATTGGATATGATCGTGAATGCGTAATTCCATCCATCCTCCAACACGTTGTTTGTCTATAATAAATAAAAATATACAAACACTAGACAAACAATATTAGTGGTAAATTGTTTGTTAAACATCATCAAAACAAAGATGCCAACAAAATTATCTCTCCATCTTGTAAAAAGTTTTACCGGTTTCTTTTACTCCCTCTACAATTCTATGTGTGTGTGTGTGTTGGGGGGCGGGGGGGGGGGGGGGTGTCTTACAAATTCACTTCCCTTCACACTTTTAACTCTCGAAAAATCTCCTAAACAAAGTTTTTATAAAATTTCACATTCCCTTCCATCCTTTAACCCCACTCCAAGCGCACTATAAAATAATGTAAATCCATCTCTTTCACTTGTGTAACTTTTCTTAAATAATCATAAATTGAACCTCTCAACACCTTAGAATGATGGGTGCTTGTGAATTGATAAAATATGTTTCTTCAGTTTCCCACAATGTATCCCCACACCTTATTATGGATTTGACTAATCCTTGCTTGCACTTTGTACCTGACGTTGGTCCGAATGTTTTTTTTTTACCTATTAGGGGTTTCGAACGTAGGATAGCCCGTTATGGATCGTCCCCCAGTAGGAGCATAACAGAGACTTGCACCACTGCTCCAACCCTGTGGTGTAAACTTTGGGCTCAATGCTAACTTGTTGCTTCAACAGGTTCAACTTCTATACATAACATACCAATTAGATCACTTTCTGTATGTGTATTTTCCTTCACACAAAGCACAGATTTATAAGTTACAATCGGTTCGACGCAAATTTCCGGAGGATGAAGAAACGATGGACGATTACGTACAAATGAATTTTGTCAAACGTCGAGATATTTGAAGGGGGAAAAAAAAAAAAAAACTCTTTAGTGGTACCAAAGTTACAAGCGAACGTAAACTGTGCGGTGTTTAGGTGCTACGTGCTACAGTAATGGAACCGACACTTTTGTCCTCGACCGGGCCACCCAACTCGGTCGGTATGAGTTCCATCGGCGACACAGGAAAACGAGCGTCCAAGATCCCACCTGAAAAAAAATATAAAATAAATAAACCTCCCCAGGAAAATAAATTGCTAAAACCTCCACCGCCACTCGTTCCCCAAATGCTCCCTCCACTCTCTACTTCCTCCTCCCCCCTCGCTCCGCTGGTCTCAATCAAAGTCAACGATGCTGTGCTCCGCTCGGATCCTGGCCTGCTCTCGATCCCCAGCCCCTCAAAATCCCAGCTGGAGATTTCCTCGAGACCTCAGGCTCATAAGAAACAGGCCCATCTCCGTCCGATGGCGATCCATGGCTTCAGCTGAATCTGCTGAGGCCACTGGGGACTCCGCAGATAAAATCCCAGCTGGGTATTGCTGATCAGCGCTCAATTGTTCGATTTTCGGCGCTTTCTTCTGATTTTATTGGTGGGTTTTCGTTGATCAGTGGAATTTTCACTGCGTGCAGGTTTTGTATCATAGAGGGGCCCGAAACTGTTCAGGACTTTGCCAAGATGGAGCTGCAGGAGATTCAGGACAATATCCGGAGTCGAAGGAATAAGATTTTCTTGCACATGGAGGAGGTCTGTTATTGTGGTGCAAGAACGTGATTTTTATTTTCTTTTTCAGGGTTCAATACCAACTGCCAAGTAAAATAAAATTAAAAATCTTTGGTTAAAATGCTTATTATATACTATCATAACCCTGAGGACCTCTTAATAATTCTTCTATAATTCCTTAATACTCCAAGAAACTGTTGCATATGATCTGAGTTATTAATGCATGCACCAAGTACCAACTGACCTTGCGGCAATGAGCTGGTTGTATATAGGAGTCTGCAAATGGATCAAATATGTACCAGTTTTGGTACATAGCCATATTCACTTACAAATCATGGATATGGATACGAATTTGAATATGGCTCATGTAAGAAAGATCTAATACATATCCGCCAAAATCGAATACAAATATAGATCGGAAGGGGTAGACATATACGGATAGAAAGAGGATATGAGGAAAATGGATAAGATAAAAACTATATAGGACACTAGTTGTTTGAAGGAGGGTTAATTGTTGACATACCCCTGTAGTATTGCAATTTGAACGCACTACCCCTCTAGTTTTAATTTTTTGCAGATAGATCGTGAGTGATCTTTTGGCTTCTTTACCCTTAGAGAAAGAAAAATTGTTTTTTGACATATAGACCCCTTGAGGGCAAAAGAGCAGAGAAATTTCATTCAGGCGGCCTATCTGCAAAAATAAGTTGAAAATGGCAATATCATAGGGGGTCTATCTGCAATTAACCCTTTAATGAAAACAAAGTTTCTTTAAACATAGTCTATCGTTGTGTTTGTCACGTAACAAACTAGGATTAGATCTCTGGATCGCCAAAATAATTTTCAGATCCACTTATCATTATCAAAATAATTTCAATCATTTGATTGACGCGTATATCCATATCTTGATATTGATCCAGATATTTTACTTATATATGTATCTTTATCCTTCTTCTTTATGCGGATCCAAATATTTTACTTAGATCTATATTGCATCTTTATTCAAAAGCCAAAATAGATAACCGTACATCCAGTGTTCTTAATGTCGGATGTCCGGGACATGTGACAAATTCATATCAGAATGCGAATATGAGATATATGTCAAAGATATTTAATAAATATCTGGGTGTCATATTGGATAATGTGTATATATTATAGATGTTCAGACTTGATGCACCAAGGAATGGATTGGTAGAGAAAAGCTGTGTCTTTTGTAGAACTTTTGATAAATGTACTGGATCTCAGTTGATCCTTAAATCTTCTTTCTGATTATTTACACAAGCAGATATTTGTTTGGATTTAGACCTTGAACCATAAATCCAAATCAATCTTTTAAAGCAAATAAAATTCCAAATCGATATTGCAACATCTCAGCGGATTTTTTTAAGACCGAAATTTGACCTGATTTATCAGGAAAATCATGGTATATCGCCCCAAAATTGACAAAAGTGGCGAAGGATACGGAGACCATGTCGTTCCGTGGCAAGCGTTATAAAAGGACACATCGACCCTTGTTAGGGATGTTTAAAACAATGTTTGCATCCATAACCTGGTGGATATAGACAGTTACATTGGTATCAACATCCCATCGAATATGGAAGCCGATATTTGTGTATATATCCATATCCTTCTACATCCTTAGTTATATTATCATTGAAACTCCAGCTAGGTATTAACTTTGAATAAGTTGAATGAAGAATTTCGCGTGATTGGACTATTCAATGGAAACAATGCTATAGGCGGCTGGTTGTTTTAGCCTATATGCCAAAAGTTCTTTGACTGTCTGAAAGCATTTCACTAGTTGATCTCAAATCCATCGATCCGTTCTACACTTTCTGCTAAGAAGCTACCTTTTCCTTGCATACAAGAAATATTGCACAAATGGTTAACCTAGTTTTTCATGCATATGGGATTCCACTTCATGTTAGCATTTTGTCTTAGTTTGTGTATCGAAGTGGAATGCCTCCTTATTGAAAATATTACTGTTAAATAGCCGGAAGTTTAGCTAAAAGGTGACAACATATATCAAGTTAAACTTACAACCGAATAATTATTATTTTATCTTGTTGTTTGGACTTTTTTTTAAAGATATAAGACTTCAGACGGTTGTTCATGGGTTTTGTACTTTTGTGGGCTTAAATTGCATAATAAAGGACAAAGGGAAAACTCCAAAATTTTAAGCTAGTGGCCATATATCTCAAGTTCTGTGGCATAACTTTACATAGGGTTAACTAACGTTGGGTTTAGCAGAACCTCAATCAGTTCTTCTATGGATCTATATTGACTTTGTTCATACCTAGCACTTAGCAGTAAGCCCATCTTTCTCAAAAATTTCTTTGTTGTTCATTTGTTGAACAAGTGGATTGTATCAAGCATGTGGATTCCTATGTATAGTTAGGGATCGTAGAGTCGAGTTAGTTAGGAAATTGCATCTTCATCCATGTGTTTGTTGGGTGCATTTAGTAGACTTGTAGAACCTACACTTCTGCTCCAGTGTCTTGCATCAACAGTTATCTTTCTTTTTGAAAAAAATATCCATTTTGAGGTTTACTCTTGAAAGTGATAAAAAGCAACAACATCCAATTTGCAACTCTGCTTTTACCCCTGGAGTCCTTTATTATGTACCTCTCTCCTGAATTATCTGCAGGTACGCAGGTTAAGGATACAACAGAGATTAAAAAACGCCGAACTTGGCATTATAAAAGAAGAACAAGAGAACGAACTTCCTGACTTTCCATCTTTTATACCGTTTCTGCCTCCTCTTGTAAGTGCTTTGGTTTCCTCTATATGTGACATTGTTTAGAACACTGAACTTCCTCCATTTTTTGTTTTTATCATTTCTGTACTTAAGTAAATTTCTTCTGCAGTATTCAAACAACTATATAATGTTATAAATTTCTGTCCTGTGATCAGACAACGGCAAATCTGAAGCAGTACTATGCTCTATGCTTCTCACTCATTGCTGGTGTTATCATCTTTGGTGGTCTTCTCGCTCCAACTGTAAGCTTTGTGGTTTTCACTGTATAGCAGAGTAGTTCATATATGTCTCTTCTAACTGGTTTCATATTATCAGCTTTTGCATGTTTCTGGTTACTTCAGTCATTTAATGTCCAAATTTTTTGTCTGTTGGCCAAAATTTTAATTCATTGAAAATTTGAAGATATCAGCTGGTTCTTCTCTTGATGAATCTCTTAATGTCGTTTAGATTGATTGATTGAATATTGGAAGTGATGGATGCGAGAATGAACAAATATTATGTAACTCGTGTCATAGAGTTGTAAACTGGCTTGTAAAGATTAGACAAAATTTCTCTAGATTCTTCTTGCAATTATCATGCTTTCTTTGGGGATTTGTTTCCCGTGTCCAACAGTTTGTAATGGACATGGTGGAATTTCTACTGCGAAGTCAATGTATGGAATAATCTCACTATTTTTCCATATGGTGGTTGCTGGATTTAATTCAAGCATTTTTTTAATATTCTGAGGTAAATCAGAGTTTAGTTTATAACGTGCTTGCTTCAGTTTAGAGAATGGACAGTACTCAAAATTTAAAGTTGTTCAAAGGGCATCCAGTTCTTCATTCACTCTAGCTATGTTCCTTTGTGAGTCTTTATTTGGTGTGTTGTCGTAAAGTTGTTGTAGGTTGTGGGTTAATTGAACCAACTAAACACCATATATTAGTGTGCAACTCCCTTGCGCACGGTAAAACACAAATATAGTGGCCTGCTATAACATTGCATAGCAAATTAACTTAAAGAGCTAAAATTGTTTGGGTTAATGTTGCCAAGTTCTTCTTTATTAATTGATTAGTGATTTTATTCTGTATTAACCACTGACGGCATCACATGTATAAAATGTTAAAGTAAAATGCAGTGCCTCATAATTATTTTTTTTTATCTTGAATCTTTAATTGATCAAAGTCCTGTTAATAGTCCAATTTGTTTCTTTCATCTTTCCCAGTTGGAGCTTAAATTGGGCATAGGGGGCACATCTTATGCAGATTTTATCCGTAGCATGCATTTGCCCCTGCAGTTGAGGTATGTACTTATGCAACTTATTTTATACAAGTCCTTTTGTTCCTTTTCTGAACTGATGGTTCATCAAGCACATTTTCTTTAAACTTATTGAGAATTGAACCCTTTTATAAATATAGTAGGTAGAAAGGCATAGCTCAGAGGTCCTTGCTATCAACACTGTTTATTCATGTTTAGCTTACTTTGGTGATGTCGAGTTTTCTGTGTGCAAAGTATTTTCAAAATTATTTATTGGGGTTGACTAAAGGAATGCTATCTCTCAGAGAAATATCTGATATTATCCATATACTGAATTTTATTGAGAACATTTGATAAGGCTTATATAACTCATAACTACAATAATTTTCAAAATGTGCAGCCAGGTTGATCCCATTGTAGCATCTTTCTCAGGAGGAGCAGTTGGAGTTATCTCAGCTTTGATGGTGGTTGAGATCAACAATGTCAAGCAGCAGGAACATAAAAGATGCAAATACTGTCTTGGAACCGGTAATCTTTTGAGTCTCTCTTTGTTAATTACCACTAAAACAGTTCTATAATTTTCCAATCCGAGCTGGACATTCTTTAAGAACAAATGTCTTGTTGAACATAAAGCTTATGCAGTAGTCCAGATACTATTGACTACGCTCCCTGCTAAATTAGACAGTAAGTATAAGTTCAAGTTAAGATTACGTACCCTTTCTGCCACGTGCAAAATTTCCACTTTGCTTCAAATTTTACATGGACAAATGGCATGTGATTCTGGGTTAGAGTTAGAGTTAGCAGTCAGGAATAACATACTTGCTTATTTTGTAATGCTCTGGAGACTGATGAGCTAGCCACCTAGGAGGAATGATTTGTAGTTGAGAGAAGTGCAAGGACTACCCTTGCAGTTTAGTGAAATGGATCAAAACAGCAAAAAAGGATATGATTCCATGAATGCAACAAAAGGTGTGGTCCTTAATTGAGATGAGTGGAGAAAAGGGATTCATGTAATGTAACGTGTCCCCGACCCAGAAGGACAATTTTTTTAAAGGTGTTTCTTTTCATTGTTAAATCATCGCAATGATTCCCTGTACCAATGAGAGCATTCAGGACAATAAGAAGACATAACTAATTCTAAAAAGCATGGAAGTCACATGTGTGGAAGTTAGGACTTTACTTCTTACATACCATAAATACAAACAGAACACCGCTGATGTACTTCCAAGGCCATAGTTAATAGATGTTTTCTGACTTTTAATACTCTAAATATATTTTACGTGCAAATCCATCCGTTGCTTTGCTTGATATAATTTTAGCATATACTCCACAATTTCGATATTATACTCATTGGTGTAAACCAATGAGTGTATAATAATAGGAATACATATCTCACAATTACACTGTGGCAGTTGAGTTGGATATAGCAGGTACCTGTCCTATATATGTCAGTTACATAGTAGACATGTCACATAGTTATTAATTGGGTCAAGGATCTCAGTAGACATGTCACATATTTATTAATTGGGTCAAGGATCTCAGTCATGGTTTGTTTCAGTCATCCTGTATGTGTCAAATATATACTTAGACCTATTTATTAATTGGATCAAGGATTTCTGCCCACAGCCTGCCCGCTTGCGCTTAATAATCCGTACCTATGTTTCACTCAGCTAACTTGGCCAGTGTCACACCCCAATTTAGACTTCTTTTATAGAGTCTATTTAGGAGCGTGAGTCGGTATAATTTCAAGCAAAAATTAGACAATATAAAGAACCTGTTCATTTTTTATTACTATTTCATGTACATATATACATTAACATTCTATTCTTTCTCAAACTATATTTTTGGGACACATCACCAACTATTCTTTGCGGCGATGTTTATCTATGCTTCCTCTTGATTGGAAAAATAGATTAGTAAAAGAATGAGATACACGAGCCCAATGTGATCACTGATGTGTGTATTTATCATGTAATACAGTAACAAAGTCAGTAAATGAAAAGCAAATTAATTCACTTAATAATAAAGTGGTGAAAATAATTAACAATGCACAAAATACAATTTCCTCAATGACCTCTTACCTACTGATATCACTCTATGTCTTCGTCCATGATAAAACTATAACGATAACAATTAACAATTTGAGGTATAGGTCTTACATAGTCCGTATATATATGTTAGTCAATCAATCAATAATCCAATAAACAACGACAGACCTTTCCAACGTTATTAATCGATGTGTAATACTGAGGTTGTATGCTATATGGTAAAATTCGACAACCATTCAATCAATTATGTAGATAACTTATGCATCAGTGTTATTGCAAAAGTTGAATTTATTTAAATTATCATCTTATAAACAATGAAGCATGTAGGAAAAAAAATGTACTAATGATTAAAAAACGTACTCTCACCTATATGTATGTGGGTGAGTAGGAGAAGTTTATTGGATGCCGGCATGGTTTTTTTCTTAATACAAAAACTAGTTTTGTACCGTGCAATGCACAAATTTATTTATTATTGGGCTAAAGAAAATTTTGAAATGGAAAAATACCACAATTTTATTGAGTTTTGTGCACCAAAAAGCCCCATAATTGCTCATAACTTTCAACACAATAAGCAAAATAATAGAGAATTGTTCATCCATTATAGCCAAGTTGGAAATGACTATAGAAAATAGTTTATATATCATAATTCACAATAAAATAGGCGCACCAATGAGCTTGTAATTTTTTTTTCAAAATAGACAAATAATCACTCTTTTGAAATTTTATGTACAAAAAATAATCTTTTCTGATTTCTTGTCAGAACAAACAACAAGCATGACAATGTCTGATCCATATAATTTGCAAGACAATTTGTGCATAATTATTTAAATATCTACCTTTTTTCTGGGAAAATGGTGAGAAACATTTTATTGGTTATAGCAATAAATACAAAATCGCCCTAGGCATTCCCAATCTAACAACTAAATCCAAATAATACTGCTTACCCAAAACTTAAAAACAACTACATAATACTAACTCCACCTCCCTGCATCACTACTTTGTTTAAAACAGAGCCTAAAACTGCAACTCAAAGATCAAAAACTACCATCTATCTCAAATAAGAGAAGAGACTGCCAAACTTTAAAAATTAAAACATCAAAGACTTAACAAATGATCCAGACCTCTAGTGTGCACTCTAGCATACATAATTAAACGACAGCTCCCTCTAGAAGTCCACTTGATACATTCATGCTTCCTTCTAAAGTATCTATCTTTTAAAACAGCTGAGATATCAGGAAATTACAAATGCTACATAATTTATTCCTTTATGGCATTGGATCTTTTTTCGTTGTAGGCAAATAACATCTGTCGAGCTTTCTTCTATTATCACAGAGAAACAATAGAATTATCTGCAATATTTATATGACAAAGTTTTAGTTGAAATCATCCTCAAGCATGCCCTGAATCAACCTCTTCAACATCTCTAGTGCAACATTTAGTTTATCCATAGGCACCATATGCTCTACATTATGTACCTAAGATACACCAGTAAAAAAATGATTGAAATCTATGAAATCATGCCTAAAAGAAAGTTTTGTGGATTTGATTGAAAATGGGCTTAAGAAAGAATACCCTGAAACTAAGAGGTCCATACTTAAACAAATTTGTTTCATAAAGGAATATAAGTTTATAAATTCAAAATTCACTACAAATCGTTGTATAAGAACACATAATATGCAATTCTCAAGAAACAACACTAATATAAAGCTTGACCCAATGATCCAAAACCATATATATATTCCATATAAACTCAAAATATGTGAGATTCTGGTTGGATTTTGAGTCTTGTTATATTAGCATTTAGCAGGGAAAATTTTAGTTAAACATATGTGAGAGATGATCACTTGTGATTTTATTGCCCAAGACCAAAATAGATGGCCATCAACTTAAAATTCTTGACATGTGATAAAAAAATATGAATGGAGCTACAGAATCTGGAATTAACACTAACGCCATTGTTGGTTTCTTTGAATTAATGCTCTTTTTTCTGTAGCTCAAGGTGCTTATGTGTGTCTGAATTAATAGAAGTCTTCTAGAACATAATGTAAAGCATATATACAAATTAATAGAAGTCTTTAAGAAATCTAATTTGGATACATGGTAATGAATTTAACAAATAATCAACCAAAGAAAATGAAATCAACTGGTAAAAAAATAAGGAAAGAAGAAAAAAGGACCTTTGGGCTGTAGCTGGTAGATGGATAGATCCAAAGTCATATTTAAGAAATTTTGCTCCATCTAACTCTTTAACGGAGCTGGAACTGAGGAAGTTAATCTTATATGGGTGATGGCTAGATTTGTAATCTCCACTACTCTTGCCTACTCCATAGTTTGCAATTAGAAAATCTTCCCTTCCTTTCATACTCTTTAATAGAGGTATAATTGAGGAAGTTAAACTTATATAAGTGATGATTAGATTTGTAATCTTTACTATTCTTGCCAACTCTAAATTTTGCAATTAGAAGATCTTCCCTTCTTTTATTACTATCACGAACTTACCAATCAACACCTTCTTAACCGAATCTTGGATATTGAGACCTTATTTATTACCATGAGAATTAGTATTAGTTTCATGTATTTTAATTTGTTCAAATAAGTAAATAGAAATATGAAGAGAGATAAAATAAGGATGACATGCAATACCTCTTCATCTTGGTGCTCCTAGGACCTAGATGGGCGGCTTAGGTACTCTGCTTGGGCCTAGGCGGGCTAGGCATCTGCTTTTAAAAGCATTGCTACTAGGACCTAGATGGGCGGCTTAGGTACTCTGCTTGGGCCTAGGCGGGCTAGGCATCTGCTTTTAAAAGCATTGCTAACTTTGAAGATTGTTAAATGTGGAGAAAGTTGGATATGCAAGATATTTCTCCTGGATTCTGTTTCTTTGTTTCTTTCCCTTTTTGTGTGGGTGCATAAGATTTGAGAAGTTGAGGGGTCTGACCTTAGACAAATTAATTGCGGTAAGTTGTAATCCTATCATCGAATAGGATTGCATGCAATTTGCTTTCTTGTAGCCCTTCATCATCCATTAGAAGTGAAGAACTTAATCAGTGATTATATGAACAGAACTAAACATGTTATCTACTCCAAGAACATTTATTTTTCTTTGAAATGGCTTTACAATTTTCCTTCTGCTAATCACATATAGCACTTTTCAGGATGATTGAGTTAGCAATATTATCAGATATGACTAATCATTTGTCACTGCAGGATATCTTGCTTGTGCTCGTTGTTCAAGCACAGGGTCTCTTGTTTTGGCGGAACCCGTTGCTACAGTTAATGTTGGCGATCAGCCTTTATCTCCACCACGAACTGAGAGGTGTTCAAACTGTTCTGGTGCAGGAAAGGTAAGATATTCTGCGAATTTAGCAATCCATTTTTTCCCCTCGAGAACACTAGATATTGGAATTAGACAAGGACTAATGTAGATAAATGAAGATTAGTGATCATGAGCTCGGGCCCAGTGGTGAAGTTTCTGGAGCCTCACTTCTAAACCTGAAGCATACTTGTCTGTACAAAAAAAAAAAAAAAAAAAAAAGAAAAAGAAAAAAGAAAATAAAAAAATAAAGCGTGTGTGCAGTATCGACAAATTGAACTTACTATCCCAGTGGTTCTACTGCTGCAGATAGACCTCCCAAAAGAGTTAGTATTGTTCCAGATACACCTCCTGTGTGGAAATCCATTGCTGCAGACAGCACCGCTGAAAAGGATCAAAAAAATCTCACTCAGGGGGTCTACCTGCAACAACAGAGCTACAGGGCTAGTATGTTCAATTTGCTGATAGTACAGGGTGTTTATCCGCAACTAACCCTAAATGAAATATCAGCTAGATAGTTGTTTTAATTTGATTAAGAATGATTAGTTTTCTAAAAAAAATTAATGCAAAATTTGCATGCCCAGCTATAGAAATTTGCAAAAGAATATCTCACTCTCACACGTGTGCATGCAACAATTTTATCAAAGTGTTGCTAAGTGTCTGACCGCCTGTATAAATATTTGGATTGGTTGCAGTCGTTGGACTTATGTTAACGAATGCTAGTTATGGACATGAATTTATGGTGAATGAACATTATGATGCTTTTGATCCAATCATATCTTAAAGAAGTCTTTCATGCATTATCAAATGGGTTGAGTTTCACAAAACTATCAGAAACCTTTTTGTTATACCTTTTTCCGCTAAACCACCATGCCGACGGCAATCAGGGTAATTTGTCATCTGCTGTTCTTAACAATTTGGCACGCATGTATATGTACTTTATGTATCTTCTACATTGCCCTCACCCCCTCCTAAGTCCCAAGGATAGTTTCAGCAATAATTTTCAATAGTTTATTCTTCGCTAGTTTCTCTCGAATGAGAAAAAGTTTCTTTAGTTTCGTACAAACCCCAAGTTCATTGCAGTTTTTGTGAAATTTATTCTAATAAAACGTTATAAGCTATATATAGCATTGACTTTAGGAGTTAAACGGACTTTCTTATTATCTGAGCATCTTCCATCTCTTGCAGGTAATGTGTCCAACGTGCCTATGCACGGGCATGGCCATGGCAAGCGAGCATGACCCTAGAATCGACCCATTTGACTAAAGGTTCTTAATCCATTTTCAATCTTTGTAAGAATATAGAATCTGGAAAAAGCTATGTACATAATTTCATCCTCCGTTGGATCGACGATGGTTATATATTGAGAGACATGGTGTTAAAGAAATCACGATATTTGTTCTATGTTATGTGTATATCCTCCTTGTTCGTAAACATTTGAGTTTGGTCAGGTCTTTTTTTTATTAGATCCGTTTGATCAGTGACCGTACACACTTTCAAGCTCATTACTCGTATTAGCTCTTGTGTGTATAATTCCTAGTTTCCTGGTCTTTGGATTCTTGTATTGCCACATATTCCAAGCTAACATAAATAATGTGGAAGCGTCAACTTCAGTCAGTTTTTATATTATCATGTCATCTAATGTTCTTATTTACGTATGTGCATATATGCACGGATGTACGCCTGCGCGTCTCTGTGTGAGTGGGTTCATAGGTGTGTGTCGAGGACACGTAAAATTACACACGTATATACGTATGTTGTGTGTACATAGTACGTAACCACGTATGTGTTATAATGTGTCTAGTGTATATACGTATGTATACATGACATAATATGCGTGTATACAGGTGTGTGTGTATACGTATATATTGCGAGAAAATTAACTTCTTCATCTCAGTGTTTTTCAAGTAGTTGTGCAAACAAATAATGTAAATCTCCTTGCTTTTTCTTCTGTAGTTATACGTAACTATGTATAATTGCTTCTTCTCATGTAGTTATATATCGTCGTGTCAAAAGCAACTCAAAAGCAACTCAACCGACCGGATTATTCTAGTTATATAATCTTTTAATGCATAAATATCACACTACTCAATTAAGAAACAGAGAGAAGAAACACAAAAGATGAGCAAATCTAACTTGATTTCTATAATTTTAAATATAGTTAGGGTGTTATTGCTTATGAAGCTCACCAGAGAAGGACGCTAAGCAAATGCATGTAAATAAACAGGGGTTCGGCAGTAATTTACGCGATACAGTCTCATACCTGCGCGTGTGAATCCAGTTCGCGTAGCCCACACGTGCGAACCGATTTAATGACCTCAACAGTATTAATACCCCCCACAAAGGAAAAATAAATATCTCTTCCTGCCGCTTCTATCTCTGCCCTAAAAATAATAGCTAAAACCCTAACCCCTCCTCCCTCCCCCAGTCTCCGATGGCGGTGACCTCCACCGACGGGAACGG